CCCCCCCCCCAAAAAAAAAAAGAAAATGGGGCAAGAGATAAGTGGGGCAAAATATAGGCATCAATGGGAGCATTTCTAATGTACTCCTGCTTGGTTCCACTTTAACCCGCCAGAAAAAACTGGCATCTTGATGAAACCTTTGAAGTAGTATTCAGCCTCAATTATGATCTGGGTTCAGAAAAAAAAAAAAGACAGGACAACTAAAGTTCTAGTGTTCCTCTATCACTGTCAGGTGCTTATATATTTAGCTTACAAAAAATAATAAAACACAGTAAGCAAAAGTCTAATCAGAAAGTAATAAACAGGCTTATATATAAGTCAATTTTGAATAAGCCTAGAGTGCATCATTCCTCTGCCTTTATCTGAACCATCTGGACTCCCAGATCACAATCCTATGCCAGTTGGTAGACACACAGGGATTGCCCAAAATAATATCTGCTGGCATGTCCCTTAATTATCACACTGGCTTTTCATTTTTTAAAAACTTAGACCTAGTGTGACACGAGTAGAGTAGAACACAAATAATAGAACAATAAAAATCCAGCTTCCTGTGTCAGAATAGGCTCCAGCCTCTAGGTATTCTTTTTTCAAGTATAGTTTGCCCTTTTTAAGAAATCTGAATGTTTTAAAAATAATGGATGCATAATTCCATTCACAGTGCATGAAGATCTGCCTTATATGAGAAGTAAAAGCTGTGGAAGAGAGGTGCCTCATTATTCCACTGTTTATAGCTTTAAACTAACAAATGGATTAGCATGAGCTTTCCATGTATGAGACTAACCCACAGTGAAGAAACATAAATGGTATTGACAAGGACTCAGTGAGTTAGCAACTCCCACACATGAAAACAGTGCAGTTCTGAGAAGTAGGTGTGTCTCAAAAATATGAACAGGAAATTATTCTGCTACCCAACAATTCTACTTGTCATTACATATCAAGGCAAATGAAAACATTTGTCTATACAAAAGTCTGTACATGAATATTTATAGTAACACTACTCATAAATGCCAAATGGTGGAAACAACCCAAATGTTTGGCTACTTTACCAATGATGAGTAGATAAACAAAGCACTGTGTGGGTATGTGATCAAATATTATTCAGTCATGAAATGGAATGAAGTACTGATACATACTACCACTTAGATAAAGCATGAAAATATTAAAATAGGTCAAAGAAGCTACACAAAAATGTCACATATTGCCTGATTCCTTTCACATGAAATATACAAAAGAGGCAAGTCTACACAGACCTAAAACAAATTCATGATTGTCAGGGAAGAGGTAGAAGAAGAAAGGAGATGAAAAAATAAGAGGTGCTGATTGCACAGCTTTGTTTTTTTTTTTTTTTTGTCGATTGTGGGGCTTGAACTCTGGGCCTGGGCGCTGTCCCTCAGCTCTTCAGCTCAAGGCAAGCGCTCTACCGCTTGAGCCACAGCGCCACTTCCGGTTTTCTAGTGGTTTATTTGGAGATAAGAGTCTCACAGACTTTCATGCCCAGGCTGGCTTTGAACTGTGACCCTCAGATCTCAGCCTCCTGAGTAGCTAGGATTACAGGTGTGAGCCACCAGCGCCTGGCTGATTGCACAGCTTTATAAACACAAGAAATGAATTATATATATTTTAAAAAGCAAATTGTATGTTATTCACATTTTACATAAAAAAACCCACAGGAAAAAGAAGGATAAATGCACACATACCTTGATACTAATAAAATTCATTCCACTCTCTCGTGCAACCACCCCAGCTAGTAAGGTTTTTCCTGTGCCAGGGGGACCATATAACAATATTCCTGTTCTCTGTCGTATGGGCAAATTTGCAAATAATTCTGGATACTGAAAAATATTAAAAATAGGGAGAAGAGCTCAAGTCTAACCAGCAATGACTAGCAAGAGCTAAAGATCAATGTACAGAAAAAAGAACTCAAGAGGTTCATAACTGCTATCTTTACTTATTAATAATATCACAATAGTAAAGTCCCTGTGCAGGGGAGAATAATGAAAAGAATATTACTCAAAATGGATTATACTCATAAGCTAACATGTTGAGTTGAAATCCCTTTGTGTAACTATGTAAAGATAATAAAAATAAAATTAAAATAAAAAAAACTGGGGATGGGAAGGTGGCTCCGTGGTAGAGTGCTTGCCTTGCATGCATGAGGCCCTGGGTTCAATTCCTCAGCACCACATAAGCAGAAAAAGCCAGAAGTGGCATTGTGGCTCAAGTGGTAGAGCACTAGCCTTGAGCTGAGGGAAGAGCTGAAGAGCTAAAGAGCTGAGGGACAGCGCCCACAACCAACAAAAAAAATAAATAATAAATAAATAAATAAATAAAACCTGCCTACTATAAATAATCAGTTAATTCAAAAGAACTACCACTTGTTTTCCTACATTGGACCAAAAATATATTGATAATAAATGTATAAAACTGCATGAGAATTTCTCTCCATTTGCCTGTTGTCATTTATTTACTTATTTTTGTTATTATTATTGTTGTTATTAGTGTGTGTGTGTTACTGAGGAAACTAAAGACTTACTTGTGCAAGCCAAGTGCTCTCTAACTGAGCATACTCCAAACCTGCTTTTGTTTGTTTGCCTTTTGGTGGTACTGGGGTTTGAATTCAGGGTCTTGTGCTTGATACACAGATGCTCTACCACTGAATCACACCTCCAGGACTTTTTGGCTTTTTTTGTGGTCATGGGTCTTGAACTCTGGGTCTGGGCGCTGTTCCTGCACTCTTCAGCTCGAGGCTAGCACTCTACCACTTGAGCCACAGCACCACTTCCAGTTTTCTGGTTGTTAACTGGAGCTAAGAGTCTCACAGATGTTCCTGCCTGGATTGGCTTTGAACCACAATCTTCAGATCTCAGCCTTTCGAGTAGCTAGGATTACAGGCGTGAGCTACTGGTGCCCAGCAGGCACTTTTTATTTTTTAGGTAGAGTTTTGCTTTCTGCCTAGGCATGTGCATAATACCACAATCCTCCTATATTTTGCTTCCCACCATGGCTGGGATGACAGTGCATGCCACTATGCCAGTTTTCCTGTTGATATAGGAGTCTTTCAGGCTTTTCTGTCCAGGCTGGCCTGGAACCAGGCTTGATCTCTGCTTTTTCACATAGCTAGGAGGACAGGTTCAACCCATTGCACCCAGCTTATTGTTTGAAAAGGGGTCTTGAGTATATGCCAGGGCTGGCCTTAAATCACTATCTTCCTATCTCAGTCTCCCAAGAAGTTAGGACGACAGACAGGAAGCACTAGTGCCAAGCTGTTTTTTTGATGGCTTTTCTTTTTTTTCTTTTTTAGGGCATGATAATAGTACTACAATAAGGAAAAAAACAAGGACAAAAGACTTGTCTTTTAACAAGTATACTTCCACTTGAATAGTTTACAGATTGTGAACCACATAGTTCACCTTTGTATATCCAAATATTAATAAAAAATAATAGAAAAGACATTTGTAATGACAACAGACAGTAAAATCTTGTAAAAGTCTCCAGGGTAAACAAGCAACAGACTGCTAATCAGTAACTTGCTGAATCACTAACTGCTCAGATATTAAAAAAAAAAAAAATCTTTCAATGTGAGCCAAACATCCAAGTAAACTAAAACATCAGGCTACTATTAACAGAACCCTGGTCTCCTTTTACAGATATGCCTGTTTAGTTCTATCTATTAACAAAATTACCTCTACTCTAATCTGAAAGAGGCCTACAAGCTTGCACTTAAGCATATGGCCTCCCTCTATCTGGATAGTAATGTCTGGTGCAAAGGCCCAGAATTTGGAGTGATGAAACTCCATGCCCACGCTCTCTCAAACAAGCACCCATTCCTGCGCTGCATTCAACATGCCCCCCAGGTCCTGACAACAACTAGAAGTTGCCATCCAGCTACATGCCACCCAAGTTTTTTTTTCCCCACTTAGGTCTTTGCATGGGTCCCTCATCCCATGCACGAATCTTCATTTCTCAGTTCTACAACCTGTATACTATATCCTAGATATACTTACTACATCCTACCTTGAGATCTTTTGAAGAGCAATTTACATCTGCCCCATTTTGCTTGCCAGCTACCTACTTTATGCTGTCTGTCAGCTCCTTGACTTTCCAGAATTGATACGTAGAGTCTGGGAATGTGGTTTAATGCACCACCCTGTGGGCCTATAGGATACTTACACCTCTTAGACCATTCCTGTTTCTGTTCAAATGCCAAAAGATAGTTCATTTTGTTTTAGTAACCTCTAGTGAATCAAGCAAAACAGAATTATGAAATTCACATAAAAACCTATTTACTCAAATGTATTTACTGTAAATATGACCTGGGTTTCTTTGTAAGTTGCAATGGGCAAGGAGTACTTTGAATACATAGAAAATCTGTTAAATACCTAAAATAGTGCTAGAAATTTATTTGGTAACTCACTAAATATTTGCTTAACAGATTGGGAAAACCAACACATAAAGCCAAAGTCAACAGCTCAAGGTTTCTTCAGGAATCAAGTACTTGTTTTTGTTGCTGTTTGTTAGTTGTGTTTTGAAAATACCTTGGCTGGTAATTGGACTGTATCCATAAGTATCTGGCGAACTTCATGTAATCCACCAATCTTATCCCAGCCCAAGTCTCTAGGTTTATGTAGGTTGACATTTCGCAAAGATGCAGGAATAAATCTTTGGAGAGCCTTTTGGAAGTCCAATGTTGATAGAAGTAATTCTGTTTAAAAAGAAATAAATATCTTTCAATATGCGAATTTTCCAAATATGCCAGCATCTTATCTGAAAATGTCAATTTTCTACTTAAGTAACAATTTATACAAATACTAAAATGGAAGTAATTCTTTTTTTGCATTTTTAATTGTTATTAAGTAGTTGTACAAAGAGCTTACAATCCCATAATCAAGTTATAAGTACAATACTTTTTGGTCAATGCCATCCCTTCCTTTATTCTCTTCCTCTCATCCCTATCCTCAAATTACACAGTTCATTTTTTACATAATGTACATTGAATATAATGATTTCATTTATTCTAATTCTAATTTTTACTACACTTGCTCTAACTCTTGACCTACTGCAATTACATTTCTCCAAGCCTGCAAGTTCAGGTTTTACAGGAAATGTACCTTCCTTGGTAGATATTTGCTGATGAGAGAGATGAGAATGTATGGCTCTATCCACAAGCACTGTAAAATCTCTAGCCACAAATCCTTCAGTTTCTTTAGCGACATGTTGCAGGTCAAGATCAGTGAACTTGTTTGCATCACAGCCCAGTTTATTTTTTATAACATTATACAGAATTTCATGCCTTTGTTCCTAAAGAAAACACAAACTTCAAATTATTAATTTTATTCAATTATATATTTTTAGTACAGACATACATCATTTAACAATAGGAACATGGTCTGTGAATTCTGTCATTGTGTGTACTGTACAAACCTAGATGATACAGCTACTACATGCCTAGGCTAAATGGGATAGCCTACTGCTCTGTCAGATTTCCTCTAGTAAGTAATTGTTCTCCAGTTTCTACAGATGCTTTCACTGTCTTTATATCAGCACTCACAGAGTCACTCCATAGCTCCACATTGTATGCCAACAGCAAATTCAACATCAGTGCGGGGTTCAGCTTTTGCTTTCAACATTTACTTTTTTTTTTTTTTGGTCCATGACCAGTCATGGTGATAGAGGTATGGGGAATATACTTCTGCATCTGGTCTTTGTGTATTGGTACTGGGGCTTGATCTTAGCGCTTTGTGTTTTTGCTTGGCTTTTTTCCTCAAAGCTGGTGCTCTACCACTTTCTAACTTTTCATTGGTTATTTGGAGATAAAAATTTCTTGGATATATCTGACCAGGCTGTCTTTGAACTGCAATCCTAGATCTCAGTCTCCTGAACAGTTAGGTGTGAGCCACTGGTACCTGGTTTGAGTCTGGTCTTTTAATTCTAGATCCTTAGAAGTTTCTCTTCTGTAGACTGTCTTGTGGCCTTTTATTTATATTTATTTATTTATTTGTTTTTGATGGTACTAGAGTTTGAATTGAGGGCCTTGTGCTTGCTAGGCAGGCATTCTACCACTTAGCCATGTCCCCAGCCCTGTCTTGTGGCCTTTCAATAAAGCAGATCCTTCAATAAGATCTTTAAGACAGTGACCAATAACCATCACTGATGTTCCACTTTTGTAGTTCTTTATCACTTACTTTTCGTTTTACTTCCAGTTCAATCACTTGATATGACCACTTCATCCATTTAATTAATAGTTCTTTGAGAGTTTTTATTTTGTTCCTATAAAATTTATTTCTAGAAACACATTAAATAATCAATATCACTATGTCATTATCATTCTGTTACTTTTTTTTTTTTTCTGCAGTGCTGGGTATCAAAGCCAGGGCCACATGCATGCTAGGCAGGTACTCTCCCACTGAGCTACATATCCAACTTTTTGTTCTACTTAATAACAGGCAAAATATTTTTTACTCAAAATTGGTTAAATAGCTTAGTCTCAATATTTACAATAGTTACTAGGTGAGAATTTCAGTGTAGCTTGCTAGTTCCTGAACACACTTCTTTCAGATCACTGCCTATACACTTATGTTAAGCATGAGTCTCCAAAGGGGACTAAAGGCTAACTGTGCTGGTAGAAAAAAAACACGTTTGCTTAAACATTTTCACCATTCCTTCTCATTCAGAAAAACCATTTCCTTAGAAAGTTCATGGTAGTACTTCCAATGGTTATATAATTTATGCATTTAGCATAATATGCACCAAATTTTGTTTTGTAAATATTCTTAAAACCACACAGAAGTAGTAAGTCTGAAACTATGTCATTGATAAAATAAAAAGTAATTTCTATAAAGAGGGATTTATTTCAGTAATCTTCAGAAGTAGTGTATTACCTGAGTAGGAGGTTGAATATGATGGACACATTGAAATATATGAGTTCCTTGAGCAGAAACCAGGGAAGGATGCAGAGAGTGTTGAAACTGGCTGGTGGCCATCAGTGCAACTAAACTTCCCATGGCAATGAACTCTTTGATCATATCATTCAAAGCTAAAATCAAGTAATATAGTGTAAGAGCTCAAGAAAAACACCATGAAATTTTATAATTACATCTTCTTAAAAATAAGGCTAAGTTAACATTGAGCTTCAAGATGGAACAGCTTCTTTCATTTGTTTTAAAGGTTCATTCACTCACTCATTTACCATTGAGGACCCAGTATGAGATGTAGGAGGCTCTGTAAATTCAGACTGAATAATTCTCAGAGCAATGTTGTCTGAGGTTCCCTACTCCTGGATCTTACAAAGTGAGTAAATAATAAAGATTTTCTTAAAATGAATGTCTTAAAGGGTTTCAAATTTCCAGATTGTTTTCTGTTTTTTGAAGCAAAATACAGCTCAGGATTCTGTCACTTTCAAATAATCTTCTTCCAATCAAGGTCAGAACTGAAATAAAGCTGAGTGATATACAAGTCCTGATGCCTAAGTCAACAGCATTCCCTAACATTAGACTAGCAGATGTGGTGTTTAGGGTTCAGTGTAAGAGTAGTTAACACTAGTTTTATAGGTCCTATAGAATTCATAGTGTGACATTAACACTAGACAATAATAACCCCAATTCTGGTTACTTTGTGTGTCAATTTCAATACTCAAGAACCCAAGACAGTTCAGTACTGCCAAACCCTCCAGCCTCATCCCTGACCAACCCTTTGTTTGCATCCCAAGTTCCAATTAATGGAATATTCCCTAATGCACTATGATTTCTTATACTTCTTATGCCTTACCCTGTAGCCGTATTTCTTTTGCTTCTTGATCAGCATGAAATTGTTTCATGCTAATTTCTCTTCTTCCCTCAAGACTCAGCTCAGTTGTCAATTTTTCCAAAAGCCTTCCCTGGTAACACCTTACATCAGCTTACCCCAAATCAGGTTATATGCTCCTATATCTAGTACTGTACTTCTAGTACTGCATGTCCTATACCTTCTAGCCAGTCACTCTCTTCCACTTAATCTCTTTAAGTTTCTACTTCCTGACCTGCAAAGCCAAGAGACTTTCTGTAAATACAGTACTAAGCAATTCCAGGTCCAAAAGGGGCATTTGACATGTGGTTCTTATCCTGTAATGACACACTGGATTTGTACATAAGCATTTGACAAACATTTGCTAAATAAACAAAAGAATGAATAAATCTGTAAACAATTTCTAGAACATAAAGGAGAATGTAAAGACCTTAAAAGGTTAGCTATGAATTTGAGGACTTTGTTGTTGTTGTCAGTGTGGAGCTTGAATTCAGAGCCTGAGTGCTGTCTCTAAGCTCTTTTGCTCAAGGCTAACGCTCTACCAGTTTGAGCCACAGTGCCACTTCCAGTTCTCTGGTTGATAACTGGAGATAAGAGTCTCATGGACTTTCTTGCCTGGACTGGCTTTGAATAGCTGGGATTACAGGCATGAGCCACCAGTGCTCAGCTTAAGTTGAGGATTTTCACACTGGTCTTCCTCTACCAATTTTGCTAACACTGAACAACAGAATTCCACAGAAGGCCTTAAAAGAAACATACAACACAGCATATGTGTTATTCTCTGGCAAAACTAGATTTACCACATGAACCACTAATGCTGATTGGCAAAAGAAAAATGCTTAAGCCAGTGGAAGATGTATTACCATGAGCGAGCCGTTTGCTCTGCACGGCATCAGGACTGTGCTCTTGTTCTGGGCCAGTAGGCAGTCCAGCTATGAGATCAAGGTCATCCAGCAGAACAACAGATGGCTGTCTCCATGCTGCCTCTTGGAAGGCCCCCTCCACAGTTTTTTGTATGTTTTCAAGCCTTTTACCTTAACATAGAAGATAAAGCTTCAATCCTAGTTCAGAGCTAGAAAATTTCAGGCTACCCTTCTGGAAGCATTAGAAGAACTCAGTATTGATTTAACTATAAAAATGTCACCCATGTTTTGTTAATATACCAATCACAAAAATTTATTGATCATTAATATGCTTCAATGAACAGTCTCAAAAGGTTTGGTAAAGTGCCAAATATTATCACTAAGACAAGAACATGCTATGATAATTTCTGTATGTATACAGTTATTCATATGCAGTCTTGTTCTATAGAATTTCAGATGGCTTACGATAATAAAAATAGGATGTAGCACAAACAAGAGTAAAAGGTACAGTTTCAGATAATACTGAGTGTGAGTGTAGCTCTTTGGACATTCTAGATGCTACATTTCAGTCACAAATTTGCCTTCAAATTTGCTAGAGTCACATTTTTTTTTTTTGCTAGTCATGGGCTTGAACTCAGGGCTTAGGCACTGTCCCTAAACTTTTTTTGCTCAAGGTTAGCATTTACCACTTGAGCCACAGCACTACTTCCAGCCTTTTCTGTTTATGTGGTACTGAGGAATTAAACCTGGGGCTTCATGCATGTTGGGCAAGCGCTCTACCACTGAGCCACATTCCTAGCCCCAAATTTTTAATTTTTTTGGGGGGGTCCGGTCGTGGGGCCTGAACTCTGGGCCTGGGCGCTGTCCCTCAGCTCTTCAGCTCAAGGCTAGCGCTCTACCACTTGAGCCACAGCGCCACTTCCGGCTTTTTTCTTTCTGCTTATGTGGTGCTGAGGAATTGAACCCAGGGCCTCATGCATGCAAGGCAAGCGCTCTACCACTGAGCCACCTTCCCAGCCCCAAATTTTTAATTATTAAAGAACAAAAAATAGAGAAACTCATGTACTGATGTAAAGATCTCCTGTTACTCAGTTCTAAATTAAAATTTCTCTCATGAGGCTTCAAGCAGAACTCAAAGATAGGGCTGACTGGGTGCCAGTGGTCCCCACCTCTAATTATAACAACTCAGGAGGCTCAGAGCTGAGGATGGTAGTTTGAAGCCAGCCCAGGCAGGAAAGTATGTGAGACTCTTATCCTCAATAAATTACCAAAAACAAAAAGCCAGAAGTGCAGTAGTAACTTATGTGGTAGAGCGCTAGCCTTGAGCTCAGGAACAGAACCTAGGCACTGAGTTCAAGCCCCAGGACTGGCATAGACAGACAGATGGACAGATAAACAGATATAATTTGGTAACAGAAGTGTAAGGTGGAGAAACTGGACTTGTCTACACTAAAACTTTTCCAACCTGTTATTTTCACTGAATAGATAAGCACAGAAGGTTATAGGGTATACAAAATTCTCCTCATTGCTGAGAACCTACACCCACTGCCCCTCCCTTGAGTCACACTCAACTAGAACACACAGCACATTAGAAATCATTTAGATCCACTAGAGTCTCCTTTAAATACTAATTTTCTCATGGTGCTATAAATTGGTATTTCCAGGAATATAGTCTACAAAGAGATTTGGTTAGGAACAAATAAGCTGCCATCAAATATAGAGTTTCCAAAATTTGATCACAAAAATTACAAAGTCTTAAAATTTCTCAGAATTTTGAACAGCTAAATGATATACAAAAAAAGTTAAAAATTAGATATTATACCTATTGTCTAATAGCATTGATGACATTCCTTTCTACCAGAAAAGGATTATGTGTAGAGGATTAGCACATTCTTACCTCCCAAAGCTTTACAGTCAACTATCTCCACGTGGGCATCCAGTATGTCACTTGCTTCTTTACAGATTGCTTTGGCTAAAGTTGACTTTCCACTTCCCTAGAAAATAATGACTTAGTCCCTTCTCATGTATATTTATGCTGCTTCTCTTCCAATTTCTAGCTATTATAATGTCAAAATAAGCCTCCACACATATAAGATTATATCCTTAGAATAAACTCCTGGAAATGTAATGAACTGTTAAGTATTATATATACTTAATGTTTTGTGTGGAATTGCTACAGTGCTCTCTAGAAAAGCCAAATCTGGTAGGTTTCATAGTTCTCTTACCATCAGTTTCAATCTACTATTTTCAAATTGTCATTTGTCTATCTCCAACAGTTGTGTGTCAATCCTAATATTTTTTTTCTGATTACTATACTCCAGAAAAACAGCCAAGCTTGATAGAAGAAGTCTGAAGTTTCAGAGGCACTCAATAAATAAGGACTTCCATTACAATAGTATACAGAACTTCATAAACACATTATCTAAAAAATTGGTTGTAAAGATTCTTGGGGTATTAAGGTATCAGTCTCACAGATCAGAAAGCCTTTTCTCCTGTTTCATTTATATAGCACTTTCAGTTTATAAGGCTCTTTTACATATATTATCTTCCTTATGTGAGATTACTCCTATGAACACAGATGATATTCTATAATGGCCACCACCAGTAAGTACTTGACAGCTGGAACTCAAAATCAGGTCTTCTGCTTGCTCCTTATGTTAACCATAATACTCCGAAGTGACTATGGATGGCCGGTACCTAAGTCAGTAAGATATAGTAACTTCACAATTACTTTTTTTCTTTTAATTTTGAGAAAGAGTCTCACAATGTAAAATAGGATGGGCCTCAGATTTGCCATTCCCATCTCTGCCTCTTGAGTGCTGGGTTTACAGGCATGAGCCACCACACCTAACCTGATGCTATATTTTTAATAAAAAATTTAAAAAATAGGGGTAGAATAAAAAAGTTAATAAAAATAAAGCAAATATGAATAAGAATGAAGAAACTTAAGGTTTTAAGTTTAAAAAGCCAAAGACCACCTTGTTGTCTTTGTACCTTGGAAACAAGATGGCATTGCCAAAGAATAAGTCAGTAAGCCCCTTTATAAGGTTAGAAAGCTTGAGTAAGACCATCAAAGATTTAAAAGAAGATACAAATTAAGAACAGTTTAACAAAACAGATCATGCACGATTAAAGGATAATAAGAGAAAAAGAACTTTGTATTAGTATATTTGATACTATAGAATCGGGCTAAATCTTTAATAACTATTAAATATTTTCAAGAGAAATAAAATTACCTAAATAGTCTTATAACCACTGAAGAAATGGGATTTGCCACTAAAAACCTAATAATAAATCTCCAGGCCTGGATAGTTCTACTAGACTTAACAAATATTTAAAGAAGAATGTATACCTATTTTATATAATCTTTCCCCCCCCCAAAAAAAAAAGAAGAGCAAGAAACATTTCCAACTTACTTTATAAGGCCAATACTACCTGATAGTAAGTCCAGACAAAAAAAAAGCAAAAAATTAAAATAAAATGAAGAATAATATATCTTGTAAATTTTAATGAAAAAAAAATGTCAAGGCTAAGGTGTGGCTCAAGTGGTAGTGTGCCTGCCATGAACGAGACCCTGAGATCAAAATGGAGTGTTGCCTTTAAAAAAAAATGGGAGGAGGGGCGCGTGGGCTCAGGTCCCAGTGGCTTATGCCTATAATTAGCTATTCAAGAGGCTGAGATCAGAGGCTCTCAGTTTGAAGCCAGCCTGAGCAGAAAAATTTGTACAAGACTCTCTAATTAATCACCATCACCACCACCAACACAACAACAACAACAAAAAGAAGCAAAAAAAGATGTTTGCCAGGAGCAGTGGTTTACACCTTAATCCTAACTATGGAAGAGTGAGCTTTGGGGAACCTCAGTTTGAAGCCAGCATGGGCAGAAAAGCCTAAGAGAGTCTAACTTCAAAAAATAATCAGGCTGGGTGCTGGTGGCTCACGCCTGTAATCCTAGCTACTCAGGAGGCTGAGATCTGAGGATCTAGGTTTGTTCAAAGCCAGCCCGGGCAGGAAAGTCTGTGAGACTCTTATCTCCAATAAACCGCTAAAAAACTGGAAGTGGCGCTGTGGCTCAAGCGGTAGAGTGCTCTCCTTGAGCTGAAGAGAACAGGGACAGTGCCCAGGCCGAGTTCAAGCCCCATGACCAACAAAAAAAAATAATAATTGGCAAGAAGCAGCGATTGAGCCATGGTTCAAGTGGTATAGTGCCATCCAACCCAGCAGGCCAAGCAAATGTGAGGCCCTTAGTTCAAACTCTGGCACTAGTAAAAAAAAAAATCAAAACAAACATCCAAAAATAAGTCCTTAACAGAACACTAGCAGAAGAACTTAGCAACATATAAAGAACAACATATCACAATTAAGTGAAATTTATTATAGGAAATCAAGGTTGGTTCAATCAATCCTGTTAACACCCTATCAAAAATCGCAAAACTAAAAATCATAAAATCATATCAACTGACACAGAAAAAGAACAAGGAAACATCAGGCTTGTTCATCATTACTTTCCCAATATCTAATTATATACAAAAATATTAATGAATGATTGCTTGCTCTATCTCATAATTAACAAAATTCAAGAGAGGAAATTTGAAGTTATGAGTTAGTGAAAAAGAGCACGTTTAATCATCTACCTTTCCTCCAGTGAGTAGAAGGGCTCCATTCCTAAGTCCCGCAAGAAGGGACATCAGCTGCCGAGAAAAAGGGCGTCCCAGGAGGCTATGGGTAATATGCTCCACAGAGGATATGCCTATGGAACTCACCCCTCTGCAAAATACATAAACTGTTATGTGACAAAAGACTGAAGTACTAGATGAAACCTAGCTAAAACTTTCCTTCCCAGTTTACTTAAGGATTGAAAGAAAGTAAAGTTTTAGAACTCTTCCTTTACTTGAGAGAAAGTACACTAATGAATGCTACATTATAGCATAATGAATGCTAAGCATTATAGTTTTTTGTTTTTAGACTTTTGAACATGTGCAATTCCCTAATAGGATTATTTAACAGGTCTGTCTTAACATATTTAATGACTCCCTTTTCTCAAATAATTTTTATAATCAATAGATCTGAAAATGAGTGCTTTTGAAATGCTTAGGATAAGACTTATTTCTTCTTAAATATCACCAATGAAATTCAACCTGTAGGTTACACAAATATGAACTTTAAGCTACTTCGTAACCACTACCATAAATAATAGAAATAATAAATTTCTGAAATTAAAATCTGAAGAGATTTTATTCTCTATTAATATATATTATGTTGTATTTAAACATTTGTATTTTGGGCTTCTTTATTTTTATTGGCTTAATTCTTTTGCTAAAATGTAGATTATAGAACAGTACTAAATCACTACATCTACTAAGAATCACTGTGAAGTATTCTAAAGGGTAAGGTTTACATGATTCTCTTACTGTATAAAAAATAATAAAATTAAGAGAAACGTCTTTTAAGAATTGTTTAAAAAGTTGAGAAAACACAAATATTCCCAATTATGAAATAAGACAGTAAAGGAATAACTTAATTTGAAATATTTTAAAATATTCGAGTGATTTTTTAAAGCTTAACTTTCAAAATATATTTGTAACTAAGAGGTGTTGTTTTATTCAGGCATGTTTGATCCAGGTAGGTATCGAGTTGCTTTTTTCTCATAAATAATTCTCAATCTAAAATTTCTAGTAACACTTCTTTTATCTACAAGGACAAGGCAAATTTCTAATCTTCATGTTAAAGTCAGAGACAATCCTTGAAAAAATATCCACTTTAGCATTAGTAAGCTCATTCATTGACATTCACATTCACTATAAAATTTACACATAGAAATCTTGCCAGAATTAATGTCAAAATGTCGCCAAACATGCTAGTTTGGGCATAACTTCTTACCCCAAAGCGTTCAGCTTTAAAAAAGGAAGAATAAAGTCAATTTCCTCACTGTTTTCTTCTTTTACCATAGGATCTAGAAGGACCTATAGTAGCAAGGAAAAATTAGTTTTACATTTCAAAGTTATGTCTTTTGCCCGTTTCTTGGGTCTCAGAAAAGTGAATGGCTGATTCTGTTACACAATAGAGAATAGATAAATTATGCATGCAAGATCACTAGGTAACTACCCATGACAACAAAAACTACTCATAAATATTTATGGTCAGTTAGCAGAGAGAATGTAATCTCCTTAATACACTTTACAGATATTTATTTGCAGTTTTGATTTGTGTCATATTTAATCTTTTCACAACTCTACATTTATATCTTCTCTGGATGATAGTCCCTCAATTCTATTTAAAAAAAAAACAATTTCTAGTTCCAAACAACTGACATTTTTTTTGTTTTTGTTTTTGTTTATTCCTGGGGCCTGAACTCTGGGCCTGGGCACTGTCCCTCAGCTCTTCAGCTCAAGGCTAGTGCTCTACCACTTGAGCCACAGTGCCGCTACAACTGACATTTTAAATGGTTAGTGCATCTTCAATTCTTTAAAGGTGACTATTAAAGATATTCACTAAAGCATAATATTTTAAAATGCTAATCTTTAAGTACTTCTGGTAAAAAGAAGGAATGTAATACTTGTGAGGAGTTGAAAATTTTAAAATTGTGAAAATAGTAACTGCAGGCAAAATGTGAATTTTTAAAACCAAATCTCTAAACCCAGGTTTTCATTTGTTTTAAAAATATTAGATAAAAAAATTAAAATTTTGAATCATGATTTATTTTTCAGTTAACACTGAGTCTTTTCTTGGCACTTAATTATGCTGAATTGATTTTTAAATTTAGGATAAATCAACAAATGCATATAGCCACCTTAAAGAGATTATAGAATAAAATATTTTAAATCAAGTTATTCCTTACTCTTATCATTTGGGTTTCTAATATATTTTGGGATGCAAGTTTTTACAAGGAAATTCATACTTTACTCAATCACATGTAACAAACACTGTTTTACTAAATATTCAAAGCAATTACTTGTACTGAGATCTTCTGCAGCAGATTGGTACTCAACAGAAAAATATTTTTTTCTTTTTCTTTTATCTTCTCTTTTCCCCAAGAATGAACTATACTCAGATAAAACACCTTCAACCCTATTAAAAACAAAGTAATAAATGGAAAGTTAGTATTGGATTTGAGATGAAATAATTGAAGATTCTAAATACAAAACTTAAAAGGCATTTTTAATATGTAAAAATCTGTTTACTATATTTCACTATTCACACATAACATAGGTTGGAAAAACTATTAAAAATGTTACACACATCTTATAAAAATAAATTTAAAAAGTATTTACCCACCATCTTTAATTTCCAGCTTAATCAATTGTTCCTCTGATATTATCAAAGGAAGCATGGTGGTAGCAGACTGCTGAACCCAGGAAGAGAACACAGTTTTTACATCGTCTTCACTTACATCTTCAGGCTTCCAGGAGGGAAAAAAAAAAAAAAGAACAATAATCAGTTGTCCTAATAAATGGCTTAACTTTAATATCCCTGCTTTAATACCTGTCCTAAACCAAAAGTAAATATTACCAAGCCAAACAGTGTCATTCATGTGCTACAAATAAACGTCCGGTTGACATTACAAGAAACATTTATGTAAGTGGAGAAGGTGTAAATGTTCTTTGTCTATACTCAGTGACACAAATAAAATAATTTGACTCAATCACTACTCTAACCCGATTCTCTCATGCCTTCCTGTTACCAGGAAAGGAAAGCAAACATCTCTATTCTCACCTTAAGAGTATGTATGTGGCCAATAGCATACAATAGTATACAATAGCATACGATAGTATGCCAATAGCATACAATCAAAGGTAAAGAAACTGCAAGGAGAAGGCTTTTGCCTTGTGCCTTTCCTTCTGCTTCCCAGAATGCAGACATGATGGAGAAGAGATGGAGTCAATGCTCAGTGGGTACAAAGTTTTTGTTTACATTGATAGAAATTGTTAAAACACTGATGGTGGTTGCACAACACTATGAATGTAATTAACATCACTGAGTGGTACACTTAAAAACAGCTAAATAATGGAATAGTGCATGTTCCATATCTTTCAACACAATATAAAGAAAACACTTCTCTGTTCTTTTGGTCAAAAGTAGAACATTCTTATTACTTAGCAAGTAGAAATTCTGGAGCATATGTAACTCACTAAGTTCTCTCTAGGTTGTAATTTTAGAGATCTTGGAATTTCAGGGGCAATGTCCACCGGAGTTATTCTGACTACTGCATGCATTTCTATATTTAGCCTCTTTCTCAGGTCATCTGGAATCTGAAATTTAAAAATAAATGTATAAATAAACAAACCCATAAATGCTCAAAACTCAATGAAAACTACATCATAGCATCCATATTAACGTCAATGTCTATGAATTCAGGTGAAATTATAGAAGCCAATACATGATTCATAGTTGTCTTAGTCTGCTTGGGTTGCTCTAACAAAATAATATCAACTGTGCAGATAATAAAGAATGAAGATTATTTTCTTGCATTTTGGGGACTAGAAAGACTAAGATCAGGGTGCTGGCAGCTTTGGTTGCTGGAAGGGTTCTCTCCATAGTCCTTTATGAAAGGATACTCTCCTTCTTGTTCTCATGATGTTAAGGGTAAGGGAGGTCCTTTGGATCTCTTTCTAAGGGCATTGGTCCCACTCATGAGGACTTTCCCTGTCACGACCTAATCAGCTCCCATAGGTTTCACTTCCTAATACTGTCACTTGGGGGGTATGATTCCAGCATAGGAATTTCAAAGGAATAAAAACATTTAGACTATCAATAGTATAACCAGAGGGAGGTACAAGTGTTGTTATACCACAGACTTTCCAATTTCCCCCTGTATTTTTTTAGGCTTAAGAGCTTTAAAAGGAAGTATTGACTCTACACAATGTATTTTAAGTCATGATAAAATAACACTTAAATTAGACGCTAATTGCAAATATTTGAGCAGTCTTCATTTGAAACAGCTAAGAACCAGTGAAAATATCAGTCTGGGGTTTTAGAAAATGATATAGGCCAAATAGGTAAAAATATTCTGTTATTTGTATAAAGGCCATACTTAAAACTATGGAAGTAGAGTTGGGCACTGGTGGCTCACACCTATAATCCTAACCACTCAGGAGGCTGAGATGTAAGGCTCAACATTTGAAATTGGCCCACACAGAAAAATTCATCCATGAGACCAATTTCCAATTAACCACCAAAAAGCCAGAAGTGGAAGTGTGGCTCACGTGATAGAATGCCAGCCTTAAGCAAAAAAGCCAAGCAAGAGTGTAAGGCTCTGAGTTTAAGCCCTAGTACTGGCACAACAAAACAAAACAAAACAAAAACCGTGGAAGTAAAAGAAATCTACAAAGGAGACAACTTCCCTTTCCTACTGTTCTTCCCCTTCTAACAGTTTTTTTCTCCTTTATCACTTGATAATAATGTAAAATTAAGTTCCAATAAATGGGCCTGTTCAATTTCCTAAGCATTTTCTACATCATTCTAATAAAGTTGTCATCACAGGTAGCAAGAAGAGTGTCTTATGCCATGGTTCTTTCCCTAAACTAGACATCTTCCTGACATAGTCTTTGCTTTCTAGAAGTTGGGAACAGATTTTCTGCAGGCATTAAAGTTGCAAGGCTTTGTAGAGCACTCTATGTTGGCCATAAACCCTAGAGCAATATGTCTGGGTTTGAATCCTAGTTGTACCATTTGCTAGCTATATAAGTTTAGGCAAATAATGTCCACCTTTGTAAGCCTATATCAATCGAACTATCATTGATTAGAAAGCATACTGTACAATCTTTACGCAAATAAAGTGTTCTCAGGATAAATGCATCCTTTCCTTCACCACCACCAGACTTTGAACACAGTTTATTACTGCATTGAATATACATATATATATATTTTTTTTCTAATTCAAAATTTAGGGAAACTTAATTATTATAAGTTTTTGCCCAAATTATAAAACTCTATACTAACCCAGACTTTCCCAAGATGGAGAGGTTCTATGTTTTTGGTGTATTTTATGGCATTTCTCAATTCTTCAAGTCCATTCCATATAACCTTTAGCACACAGAATGTATCAGCTTCATGACTATGATCTGAGCTAATCTGTTTTTGATCTAGCAGCTCTGATACATACTTTTCTCTTTTAGGTGACAGAACATTCTGCTTTGCTTTACTTTGTTTTTGCTTTGGAGAAAGTACTTTAATTAGCTTTCCATAGGTCACAGTAAAACTGGGTTCCACATCAAAGTATTCCTGGTCCCATGGAAATACGTGAATGGCACAGTGTTTGTCGAACACAGAAGTTGCTGATGTGTTACATACACTGGGAGGTTGAGCTCTGCATACTCTGAAAGTATTATCTAGAGGAACAGTCTGGGACTGCATACTTTTGAAAGCACTGATTTCAGTTGAACCCCAACATGTCTCTTGTTTCTTCTCAGATCCAAAAGAAAAGATGTTTCCTATCATAGTCCACAAACTTGATATCGATGATGAGTCACTGGAAACTGTGGAATTTATTTCATTAGATTCAATGATTCTTGTGTTTGAATGAAGATGACTGGCGTGAAGTTCTTTTGTCATTCCTTTTTGGTCTTTCCCATAATTATGAAATTTCCCATGTGTGTCATCTGCTTTTGACAATGTACTTCCTTTGGCTTGGCGGGCCTTTGGCTGAATAAGGAGTTCAGTGTCAGTTTCCAGCCTCCCATAAGGGGCAGTTGGCATCAGTGAAACTGTATAGAAAATAGAGCTCATTAGTACGTGTTCACCTCTGTGTTGCTCATGCCATGCTAGAGTGCAGAGTGCAATGGCAAATAGTACAATCACACCTACCAATCTGGATAAATATGTATGTTTGTTGATCAACCCAAATAGGAAAAATGGCGTTTGGAAAAACAATTCGAATTTGATCTAGAAGATGCTGTTCAAGGGAAGTGGCATGCAGCTCCTAGAACCAAAGGAAAAGAGAGCTCATCTCACATTTGTCCATCCCAAGTTTAGTATGGAAATCTCAGTTCATTCTTCCTCTATTTTACATCATATTGTGTATATTTAAGGAATACAGAATGATGCATGAAATACATATAGCCAAAAGATTAGCACAGTTAAGAATACAAACAAACCCATCATCTCGCAGTTACTCATTCTTTAAAGGGGATAAATAAGTACTTAAAACTTACTCAGAATGAATTCCAACTTTAATACAATTTATCTTTATACATTAGATCTCTATCAACTTGTTCTTATACTTCAACTCAGAATTTATAATGAAGTTCAGAAAAATCTAAAGCCACTGACATTTTTAAGTAGCTTAATTTTAAAATGAGATAGTCTTTAGCTTTTTTTTACCAGTATCTCCCAGTCATCTGCTGAGAGGGGTTCCACCTCAACTTGCTGGCAAGATACCACATGAGAACATGGCTTAAGAAACACCTGAAAAAAATTCCAAAGTTAAAATGATATTAAAAGACTTCTGTATCCCTAGAAAAGAAGTTGTTTCTTTAAGTGTCTCTGTGAGTATATCTACAGTACTCCATGTGACAAATATTTATTAAGTACTTATTCTTAGCTAGGCTTTAATGTACCCAATATTTTAGGAAAAACATTTCACAAGAAATTATGGAATAAAGATATATCCTAGCATAACATTTCTTTCCAAAAGTAAATACAAATAATCATTAGAAAAAGAAATATAAGAACCATATACTGTGTCATGTGCCTGTCATTCCAGCTACTATGGAGGCCAAGGCAGAAGGATTATGAGTTCAGTGCCAGACTGGGCAATATGGCAAGATCCTTCACGAAAAGAAAAGAAGGAAAGGGGAGAGAGAGAGAAAGAAAAAGAGACAGAAAAGGAAGGAAGGAAGGAGGAAGGAAGGGAGGGAGGGAGGGAGGGAGGGAGAGAGAGAAAAAAAGAGAAAGAAAGAAAGAAAGAGAAATAGAGAACGAGGAAGGGAGGGAGGGAAAAGAGAAAAAGGAAGGAAGAAAAGAAAGAGAAAGAAGGAAGGAAAAGATGTTAAGTCATGTCTTGAACTAATATTATTTATAAAATAATGTAATTTCTAAAAGTGTTTTGCAAATGTTTTAAAACTAGGTTCAGGGAATGTGGATGGCTCAGTGGTAGAGTGATTGCCTAGCATGCATGATTACCACATAAACAGAAAAAGCTGGAAGTGGCACTTGTGGCTCAAAAGGTAGAGCATTATCCTTGAGCAAGAGAAGCACAGAGACAGTGCTCAGGCCCTGAGTTCAAGCCCAAGGGCTGGCCCAAAAAGAAAAAAAAATACCCAAAAACCAAAACTAGGTTCATCATGGTGCTACTAGGAAACTATACCAAAATAAGAGATCAGAGACAATTATTTCAAAGTACAATCCTTCACAGAAAAAAAAAATAAAGAAGAGCAAATACCTACTTACTCTAACACACAGATATATGGAATGCTATAGTGTCTTAATGAAGCTGAAGACCACCATCTTACTTTCTTTCCTCTTTGACATTCATATCAGTAGATTTAGGGAATTAAACCACCAAGTGTTAGATGTTCTAGGCAACCACCCTTTCTTCCCTGCTTTTGTGGACTGGAATAGAATTACTTTCGAGTGCCCCATGAATTTTCCTTCAATCCCTCTCCTACATTCTACTTGAACTGATGATTCTGAGGAAGCACAAAAGCAGCTCCGAAGAAACAAGACACTAGGATTCCTAGGCAAGCTAGTCCACTTTTTGTCCCCATCAATGCATCACTGGGAGACAGTGTCTCAGTGGCACTGCTACAATAAAAGATCACATATACACTGAGAGATGTTCTCATAACATTTGTAATATAGTCAGTCTTTGTATACATGTTCCTCTGCCGATTCAACTAACTGTGGATAGAAAGAATCTGAGGGAAAAAAAGTGTGTCTATCCTTAACATATGCAGAATTTTCTTGTCATTATTTCCTACATAGTATAACTGTTTACATAGTATTGGCAGTGAATTGGGTTTTATAAGTAATCTAGAGATAATCTAAAGTATACAGCAGAATGTGTATAGTTTTATGCAATCTTACATAAGGCATATGCACATCCACAGACTTTGGTTTTTGTGGGGCTCTTGGAACTTGATGACACCAAAGAAAGGTATCTTGATATATTTTATGGGGTAGAAATGGCAAAAAAAAAATGTAAGACTGCATTCTTTAAATCCTCAAAGTCCAGGAAAATTCTAACAAACAGCAAATATTTATTAAAAGGGAAAAATACATTTTTTGAAAACTTCCAACCTAAAGTATTTACAATGAATGTATTAGTTCCACAGTTTAAACGTATTTAAGATGAATAAATTGACAAACAGAGAATATCGGAAGCAAATAAAATACAGGTTAATAATAGAAAATAAAACAATTCATAAAGGATAAATAATCTCATGAAAATTCAGCAGTAAAATAAGAAATAAAATCAAGTAGAAAACGTAGCAAACAGCAAGATAATAGCTAACAAAGTATAGCCGATTTCAATATCACAGCTGGTTCCAAGAGTATACTTTAAAAAACAAAACACTAAGCCTATGATATTGAAATTGGCTATAAACTAATATTTGTTCCATTGCTCTTATGAGACATTAAAAGAAAGTTTCTGCCATCATTTTGTACTTACCTGCTCCCCGTGTGAGAGTCCAAGTTTCTGACCAACTTGTCTGTTAATTTCAGCCACATTTTCACCTTGATCATTAAAATGCCTGCCTTCCACCCAGCTCAAGAATGCAGGCTGGTGACCCCAGGTTACTTCTATAGCTTGATTCTATTCATACAAAGAATGGGAAAAAGATTTGAAAGTTTTCACATGGTATGATGGATTCAGGTGAACTATTATTGTAATCTACATATTTTTTTTAAAAAAAGAGAGCTCATAACTGTTACCTATATTTATCATCGTATTTAAAAGGCTATAACCATTTTCAACAGCCAACACTAGTGATGCTATGCATTAAACCAGTACCTTTGTATTTCAAATCAATTCAACCATTTCAGAATTAAAAATGACAACAGGTAGCTGAATTAACATACATAGCTTTTCAGCTGCATATGTGTGTGTGTGTGTGTATGTGTGTGTACTGATTCAAAGAAGCAAACGAAACCAAACCAAAAACTACCCCAGAAGATATCTGCAGTATATTCTTTTTCTATTCTTTCTTTTCTCTTTTCTCATCTGTGTGTGTGTGTGTGTGTGTGTGTGTGTGTGTCTTGTGCTGGTACTGGAGCATGAATTCAACTCAGTTCTGTTACTTAATTTTTTTCTGATCAAGCCTGGTGTATTACCAGTTGAGCCATACCTCCACTTCTGGTTTTTTGCTAGCTAACTGGACATAAGTGTCTCAGGGATTTGTCTGTGTATACTGGCTTTGAACTTGGATTTTCAGATTTCAGCCTCATAGTAGTTAGGATTACAGGCATGAGCCAGGAGCACCCAGCACAATATCACTTTTAATGTCTGAAAGTTGAGTATAATCCAAATGGCCAGTCATAGTGAACAAACTATGGCAAGTTTATACTAGAATACTAATAAACTGATAATGACCTTTTAACAAACAGTAAGATACAAAATTGTGTGTGTGTGTGTGTGTGCGTGCTTGTGTGTGTGTGCGTGCTTGTGTGTGTGTGCGTGCTTGTGTGTGTGCATGAGAGAAAGAAACAAATCTGGAAGAGCTGATATAAAATTTTAATATTAGTTATCTCTAGGTTCTGGGATTATGGGTAATTTTATTTTCTTGGTAATAATATTTCTTATGTATCACTTTGATAATGGTGTGGTATGGCCTTTTCTACTGATACAAGCTTAGAAAAAATAGGAAATTTGTGCTAGGCCTGAAGATATTTGAGTTTTTGAAAGATACCTGTGAACTAATTCTTAGAAATATTTCTTGAAGACTGAAAATTGAACACAAAAAGCAAGACTACTAAATCCTTAAACAGTGATGAATGTAACAACTACATCCTAGGATGAAATTATTAATTATAATAATTATCATAATCGTAAGGAAACATTCTTATAAACTCACTAAGTTCCTAAGGACTCATTGGGTTTGGATTTGAAAGCATCTCTCACAGAGCTGATAGCTTGATGACAGTGACTGACTCCATTCATTAAGAAAGCCGATTAAGGCTCACTGGTAAAAATAAATTAATTAATAATTACAAGAATTGAAGCATTCTGTTGAATTCACTGTATTTTGAAAGGCAGACAAAAATAAAATTAATAAATACAGTTACAGGGAAATAGCTCAAGAGGAAAGGTGGACTATTTGAAATCGTGGCAAACAAGTCTTTCTTGCACGACTAACCTGTGGTTTGGTAACATGCATCTAGGATTTAGATTTCAAATAGTCTAATCCCCTCCCCTCCCCCGGCCCTGCCGTGTGCACACTCAGACTCCTGACACTATTTTCCAGGATGACACTACCAAAGCTGCATCTCCCCCCGACACTGGGGCGGTGCGCCGCCTCCGCCACCGCGTCCTGAAGGGTGGCGCTCCACACCCGCGCAGGAGACGGTCGTTCGCTCCGCGGGAGACCGCAGCCAGTACCCTCACCTTCGGGGCTCGGCTCGCGGCCCAGTCCCCGCTAACACTCGGGAATCTCGGCACCCCAACGCTGGCACTTGGAAACAGTCTCAGAATGGTAAACACAGGAACAAATGGGCGCGTGGTCAGGACCTTTCTTCCAACTGGAGTGAGCGCAGAGTGCGGCAGCACCAGCGTGGTTAAAGTCTAGTCTAACTAAGAGCCAGTCGCTGCCTGGCCAGGGGCGATGTAGGCGTGCGCAGACACCGCCCCGCGCCCGGACCCGGGTCCCCAGGACCCCTCGGCGGCGGGGTCAGACCGCGGCGGGGCCGGCCCCACTCCAGGTGCCGCCCGGGGTCCCGCAGCCCGCGCTCTACCTGCAGCAGGTGCAGCTGGGCCACGAGGCGCCGCGGCAGACGGAGGAAGCAGTCGCGAGCGTTGGTGAAGGCCACGGTCGCCGCCGCCCCGTCAGCTCCCGCACCCGCGAGGCGGTCGCCGCCCCACATCCTCCCCAGCCGCCGCTCCGGTCAGCCCACTCCGCCTCGGTGTCTGACCCTACCCCGGCCGGGCAGGCCGAGGGCGTCGGAACCCGAGAAGATCGATCGGCCCCGCCCCCTCTCCCTCGGCGCTCCTCGCCTGCGAAGGCAGAGACAAGCGAGGTTCGCTCACCCTCGGGTTCTCTCCTCCTTGCCGCCAGGGGGCGGTAACTCCTTCGTCACATTCTCATTCTCCGGAAACGATGGTCGATGCTTAAAAAAAAAAAGTTCCTCTAGCCAATCCTAGCACGCCTCGATCCATCTCGCTCTCTTATTGGATAATGGGAGGGCAGGAAAACGGAAGTCTCCCTCCCCCGCGAGTAGGAAAACAGACAAGATGGCGTCGGGTGATGGCAAGCTCGGGAGTTTGTTAGAACACCACGTCCAAAGGGCCGTGTGCGACACGCGGGCCAAATATCGGGAGGGCCGACGACCTCGCGCTGTCAAGGTAAAGTGATTTCAGCTTCACTCGCGGCCGTCGATCGCTTTGCCTGGGCTCTAGTCCCCCTAGCCAGCCTCCCTAAGTGAAGACACGGCCAGGCTGCTGTCAGCTCCCGCCCTCGGGACGGGCGGCTTGGGAAACACAGGCTCTGGTACCAAAGGTTATCACTGCTCCTTTGGTTAACTTCCAGAAAGCCACTCCGTGGGAACTGAGCTTTGTTTTAGTATTTGCTACGTGACAGCCACTTAGTATTCGTTGGATGATTATGCCCAGCAACTTATGTCCAGCCAAATTTTGTGGGGAAAATCTATCTATCTAATCTATCTATCTATCTATCTATCTATCTATCTATCTATCTATCTATCTATCTATCTATCTATCTATCTCTATCTATCTACCTATCTATCTATCTATCTACCTACCTACCTATCTATCTACCTACCTACCTATCTAATTGGCCTGGATGGTGTGTATATGCTTTATTTAGAAACTCTCACACTTTTGGATTTTTTTTTTTTGTAGTGGGGCTTGAACTCGGGGCCTGGCGCTGTCCCTGAGCTCTTTAGCTCAAGGCTAGCGATCCACCACTTTGAGCCTCAGCGCCACTTCCGGTTTTTGAGCGGTTAATTGGAGATTAGAGTCTTACGGGGACTTTTCTGCCCGAGCTACCTCGGAACCACGATCTTCATATCTCAGCCTTCTGAATAGCTAGGATTACAGGCTCAAGCTACTTGCGCCCAGCTGGAATGTTCTTTATTCAGAGAATGGCATATTAAAAATGGTGGGTTTTTTTGTTTGTTTTGTCTTGTTGTAGATAAAGTTGACAAAGCCCTGTGTCTTTAACGAACGAGCAGATTTGTTTTAGGCTTATATGTGAAATAAGTTTAACAAGCCCCCACTCCCTTTTTTTAGGTGTATACAATCAATTTGGAATCTCGTTACTTAATAATACAAGGAGTTCCTGCAGTGGGAGCCATGAAGGAATTAGTTGAGCGATTTGCTCTATATGGTGCTATCGAAGAATATAATGCTCTTGATGAATACCCAGCAGAAGACTTTACAGAAGTTTATCTTATTAAGTTTGTGAATTTGCAGAGTGCAAGGTACTGTGATAGTTAAGCGGTGTCTCTTTTCCTTTAATGATATGACTATCATTTTGGCTGCAACCCTGATCATGCCTGAATTACTCAAAACTTAATATGGCTCTATGTTCTTTTCATCTTCTCATCCCCTGTATTTTCTTTTTTTTTTTCTTTCCGTGCTAGGGATTCACCTTCACAGCATATGAAGTTAGTAGTAAAGACCACTAAGCTATATCCTGCCGTCTTTTCAAAGCTTACCCTTAACCAGAGTACTATTTCCATTACATCTTTCCCATGCTTAACTGAGTAGACTAGAGTGGCTTTGAACTCACTGGGGGCTAGCCCGGTCCTTCTGTCTCAGCCTCTCCAGTGCTGGAATTACAGGTGTGTACCACTATAAATTTCTTTCTTGTGTAGTGTGGTAGATTAAAAATGGGATTTGAAGTAAATTTTCCCATTTTATTGCTTACTAAGTTCAAGTTTTTTTTACTCCTGTTAAGCCTATTTTTTTAAGCCCAGTATTAAAAGGACCTGTATCTTGATGTTGTATGAAGTTGTAAAGGCTTAGAATAGTCCTTCTGTTCAGAGTAGAGAGAATAACAGCACTTTCAGAGAATAACAGCACTTTCAGTTCTTATATCATGCTTCTATGTGAATTAACCCAAATTTTATCACACTTCTATATGTCAAACACCTAATATTGCAATGATGCTTAAGTAAACAATGACTTTACTTGGTTTTATGTTAATCCTTTTCTCATTGCTAATCTTGTCTAAGGCCCGTCTTTTCCTGGCTGTTGGTATTTAAAATTTTTATTTCTTTTTGATTTTTTCTGTGGTGCCATAGTAGCACCCATAGAATGCCTCAAAAGATTTCATGGGAGCTAGGTGCTGGTGGCTCATGCCTGTAGTCCTAGCTTCTCAGGAGGCTGAGAAAAGAGGATCAAAGTTCAAAGCCAGCATGGGCAGAAAAGTCTGTGAGACTCTTATCTCTATTAACCACTAGAAAACCAGAAGTAGATCTATATATAGCTTAAAGTTATAGAGCCCTATCCTCCAGCAGAAAAGCTCAGAGAGAGCACCCAAGCCCTGAGTTCAGGCCCTAGAACCCCCCCACCTCTGCCAAAAAAAAAGGCTTTCATAGGGTTATATGTAGTTCTTAATATGTTATATAATGCTCTTAATATGTAATCTCATTTTTGTAGCCACATTTTGCTCTTAAAAAAAGCATATTCTCAACGCTGGGAAGGTGGTTTGGTGGTAGAGTGCTTGCTTCCCATGCATGAGGCCCTGGGTTCAATTCCTCAGCACCACATAAGCTGAAAGAGCCAGAAGTGGAGCTGTGGCTCAAGTGGTAGAGCGCTAGCCTTGAGCTGAAGAGTTGGGGGACAGCGCCCAGGCCCAGAGTTCAAGCCCCACAACCAGCAAAAAAAAAAATATTCTCTAGAGATTTCGTAATTCACACAGCACCTAATATAATAGACTCTATTTAAATATAGTCTGGATCCTACCTCCATAAATGTGTATATAAACTAGCCAGATTGAATAATGTGTTTCTGTTTTGTCACCATACTGTTGTGAGATGTTAAACACATGACATTACCTGGGGCAAGGTGTAAAATTCAATAAGCATTTGGGTTTTTTTTGTGAGTCCTAGTATAAGACTACTGAAAAAGCTAAATCAAGTATAAACTAACTCATTTGACTTAACACAAAACCCATGTGACTTAATACAAAGAAAAACTCTACATCTTGAGCAAGGTTTCTGCCTCAGGCTAACCAGCTGAGTTCCAAGTTAGTTGAAAGGAAATGGTATATGTATGAATGGCTTCACTCAAAAACTTAACAGGAGCCGGGTGCTGGTGGCTCACGCCTGTAATCCTAGCTACTCAGGAGGCTGAGATCTGAGGATCGCGGTTCAAAGCCAGCCCGGGCAGGAGAGACCGTGAGACTCCTATTTCCAATAAACCACCAGAAAACCGGAAGTGGCGCTGTAGCTCAAGTGGTAGAGCGCTCGCCTTGAGCTGAAGAGCTGAGGGACAGCCCCCAGGCCCAGAGTTCAAGCCCCACGATCGACCAAAAAAAAAAAAAAAAAAAACTTAACAGGAGAGGAAAGAGATCAGTAAGCCAATGTCATCAACAAACAAAACATCTTAATTCTCAGTCCACTATGGGTGTGTATGATACATATAAATACACTATGAATTTGGGGAAAATATATGCATACCTACATAATATTTGTATCTATTATAGGTATACTATATATATATATATATATATATATATATATGTATAAATCTGGATTTTTCTCCTTGTATCAATGTAGTATATACGAGGTAAGCTTTAATTCTAAGTAACTCTATATTAATGAACCATGTTAACATATATTTCTGTTTAGGATAGCCAAGAAAAAAATGGATGAACAAAGTTTCTTTGGTGGATTGCTTCATGTATGCTATGCTCCAGAATTTGAGACAGTTGAAGAAACTAGAAAGAAATTAGAAGAAAGGCAGGCTTATATAACAAGAGCTACTAAAACTAAAGGTATGGAACGCCTACTATTAATACTTCCCATGTGTCAGGTATTCTGCTAGGTGTGCCATGTTGGAGTTGGTCTAGTGGGAGGAGAAGCAAGTAATTATCACGTTAGTAACTAAGCCACAAGTTTTGTGCAGCATTGTATTTTAAACTGAAGTGGACAGGGAGAGATATTAGTTCATAGGAGATTTTCTATAGTATATCAGAAGTGATTAAATTTTAGTAATTATTACCCAGAAGGTTCTCTACTTCTGGGGATGGAAGAGATAGGAAAGTGAGTCAGGCAAGTTACCAATTAATTAACATCACAACCCAGGCAATGTTGAAATAGCAAGAGGGCCAAACAAGCATCATGCGTGATTAATCAAAATACAGAGGTTTTAGTGAAAGATAAGATTAAAAAGTAGGCAAGAAGTGAATCATAAGGGCCTTGTTTCCCATGCCAAGGAATTGAGTGTTTGACCTAAAAGCAGCCAGCAGGAAGAGTTGCATGTCTATATTGTATTTTACTAAAATAAAGTAGGGATTAAAACCTACCTTTGGTAGAAGCCTAGCATTACCTTCATTCTCTGTTTCCTTTGACCTTAGACCTTTTCATCATGCCCCTCACCTCCAAATTAGATTTGAATATTGCTTCATCTTTAATGACAGCATGATATTGCTTTTTAAACTGTGACTTGATTGGTCCTGGATACTTCATTTGAGCTGCTTTTCACCTGCAAAATTCTAGCATTTCCATTACATATGATCTCACTTTAGAAATATATACAGAATTTACAAAGGTAGACTTTAAAATGTACCTCCCAAATATTAACCCCAACAGTTAGTAAGTATCACATAGTCAATTTCATGCTTGCCACACTTCCTATACCTCACTCTGGTATTATGGTTAATTTTGGAAGGAGAGAATAGGCAGGAGTCTTGTATAGGCTCTAAAATACGGGTCCAACACAATATTGTTTGCTTTAATCTTTTCCCTTTTTTTTTTTACCCTTTTGGTGGTACTTGGTTGAACTCTAGATCTCATTCTTGTTGAGTAGGTACTCTATTACTTGAGCCATTTCACCAATACAACTTTAATAACTAAAACACAAATTAAGTGACATGATCGATCTATTCTTGTAGTAGTGTATTCGCAAGCTATAAAAATAGAAGCTTTCTAGGGCTGGGAAGGTGGCTCAGTGGTAGAGTGCTTGCCTAGCATGCATGAGGCCCTGGGTTCGATTCCTCAGCACCACATAAGCAAAAAGAAAAAAGCTGGAAGTGGCGCTGTGGCTCA